AGAAGAAAGAAAGAAAGAAAGAAAGAAAGAAAGAAAGAAAGAAAGAAAGAAAACCACAGAGAAAATCCAGTGGACTTTAAAGACGCCTCATAAAGTAAACTTCCCCAGCATAACAAATCATGTGGAGTACTGAGCAAAGAAAAAAATTCAAATTAAAAGGGGATATATCCTGAGTAAATGTTGCAGTGAAGAGAGCATTACCCCTGGACAGAATTGCTATCGTTACTTTCAATCCCTGTCATCTAAATAGTAGAAAGAAACATGTCCTTTGTATAGACTAACACCAGGTCAGAAGAAACACTGCACACTGAATTCACACCTCACTACATAGACACATGGACTAGCATTGAAGGGTTGGTTTCTGCTCCTTTGAACTGAACTTCTCTACCAGTCCCTTAATATCTGAAGTCTCTTTTTATATGCACTAAGATGAAATGATGTTTTCCACACTTACACAGAGCCCAGGATATCTATGCAGGGCACTCTCAAAATTCCACTTGTTTCAGAGTCTCCCAAATAAAATCTCAGCTATAAATTGGGACCTGGAAATACACACAGTTGGCAGACTTCGTATGACAACAGACAAGCAGATGCTTTTGAAAACAGATCTGCACCCAATGACTTCATTAAGTGAGGAATGTGATACTGTGAAGATGCAAACAAAACACAATTATAAAGGGTTTGCAGGGGCTGGAGTGATTTGGGGAGGATAAGAGTGATGCAAGGATGGAGAGACAGCTCATGGTCAACGGTGCTTGCTGCTCTTGTGGTGGACAGAATTTGGTTTCCAGCACCCATATCAGGAGGCTTACATCTGCCTGCAATTCCAGATCCAGGGTATCTGATATCCTCTTCTAACCTCCAAGAGCATTCCAGAATACACACACACATACACACACACACACACACACACAGAGAGAGAGAGAGAGAGAGAGAGAGAGAGAGAGAGAGAGATAAATCTTTTAAAAGGTCAAAAACTAAAATTTAATTTTAATTTTAATTTTCAAAACAGCATGCAACACAACACCAAAAAGTACAAGCTTCCATCACAGACACCCAACATTTTTAAAAATTATTTATTTTTAACGTTTATGGGTATTTTGCCTCCATGTGTCTGTCTACCGAATTCATGCAATGTCCACAGAGGCCAGAGATGGTGTTGGATACCCTAGAGCTAGACCACATGGTTGTAGGGACTCAAACCCAGGTCCTTTTCAATAGCAGCCAGCATCCTTGACCATGAGCCTTCTCTTGGCCCTTGTGCAACCTTTGTAAAAAGAAACTGAAAAGCAAGGAAATAACTTGCTCTTCAGACTTACATTTTTCAAATATCTCCTTTATTTATACCTTTGCCATAGGCCAACTTCCCTCTGCTATATTTGGTTAAAAGAATGAAGGGTTTAAGAGCCAAGAATGTTCTTAAAAGTTGTCTAGTTTAAGACCCTCAAAGGTGAGAAGGCTAAAACAGAGAAGAAACTACCCAGGAACAGTAAATCAACTTCAGGGCCAAAATTAGACTCAATAAACTCTGTTCAAGTACTCTACACTATAAAACAAACCCCAGTCAGACAGGATAAAAAATTTAAACGACTTTGGAGAGTCAAGGCTTTGTAGCTTTAAAACAACATAAAAATACATGGATTCCTGGTATAGACAAAGGACCTCTCATTTGGCCCCACCTCCTGCCTGCTCCGGTACAAAGTGGGTCTGTGTCTATCAGTGCATTTTTCAAACTATGCCAGGTAACCACTTTTCGTCCAAACTCACAATGTCCCTTTAGTTCACAGGGTAGGTCCTGAAGTGGAGGACTAATGCAGGAAGTCTCAGAGAGAAAGTACTGAGAGGCAGGGGCTGGCCAGAGCTGAGACTCAGAGATGTGCTGGTGAAAGGGCAGAAGCAGGTGAGAGCAGAGACTAAGTAAGTGTCCCTCTTACAGAGACCACGATGGCTAGAAGCTCAGTTTTGTATTGTATCCCTGCTATTAGACATAGGCTATCTTTTAGAATAAATTGCAGGTTGCCTACTGAAACTTCTTGTTCCAACTGCCGCCTGCCCTCTCCTCCCCAGAAAGCCACTGTCCTGATTTCAACACACACACACACACACACACACACACACACACACACACACACACACAAATCATCCCTGAGACATGACAAGTGGATCTTAAAATGCTCGAAAAATTGCTAAGTAATGAATGGCTTCCACTTTGTTAGTAGCTGAGGTAGGCCCAGCCTGAGGGGCAGCTTCAGGTCCCCTCCCTAGACCTCACCCCAGGGCTGCCTTCATAAATCTGATCTCCAACTGTAACTGCTTTGGCTTAGTTCCCTGGGTGTGGATTTTCTTGATTCAAATGCACTCTGCAGCCCGCCAAGTTCTTGGGAGAGTTTCCTCCTCTTGCCAGGCACTGGCTGGGAGCTAAAAAGTCAACTCTGGCTTTCCAGATTTTTTTATCCTTCCCAACGGAAGAAATCAAGAAGCAGAGAGCAGAAAGGCTCTATTCCCTCCAATCAGCATGGGGTCCTGAGTTGCCAAGCCTAGAGTTGGAGTAAGAAAATCCCAGCACAGTGACAGCCCCATGCTACCCAGGGACCCTGCGGGGCGCTTCAGCTCACTAGGCAAGGACAATACCAATACATTGAAGAACCGCAGCAGTGGTCCACCTCAGACCAACTGCGCCCAGCACACACCATGCTTGGCTCATATCACCGAAACACCAGTGTCCAATGTGCACCCAAAGCAGGGGCCAGGACTGGATGGACAAAACCTGGGTCGACAAGCTATGGGACACGGGAAAGACACGCACACGCTAGCGCGGGGAACCAGGATCCCACGCGTGCGGGTCTACTATGTCACTCTCAATGACACACGAAGAATCAGCCTTATCAGTACAGGGACAGAAACAGCCTTCCCCAACGGCAAGTTTCCCCACTCTCTAAGTCCACGTAATTACCCCCGGAGCCACTTATACCACTTAGATGACTAGGAAGGAGAGGCGTCGCACAAGGGTCCCTTCTCAAGTCCCTCTCAGTGACAGTCAATCAGCTACACAATAATGGAGGGCTGAAAGAGCCCACTCGTAGGGTGACCAGGACCTGGAGGCGCAGATCCCTGGGTGCCACTCCTCAGCAAGACAATGACAGAGCGCACCGACTCCCTGACTCTCAAGGGCTCAGGTCCATCTGGGCCGGTCCCCTCCGAAGCGCAAAGCGGTGGCCACAACCCCCAGCAGCACACGCCGTGACCCGCTTGACCGACCACAGAGCCAGGGACCACAGTGCAGCCTAGTGACTGCCCTGAGAGTCCGAAGATTTGGTCTGCCTTTGGGTCTCCGATGTAAGGAAGGATCTTCGCCCAGTCCCTGGAAAACCACCCCTGCCCGCCGACCCTACCCAGCCTTGTCTGAGGACCCTTGCAGGGCCTCGGGGACCCTACATAGCCCTGGGGACTCTGTCCTGTCCAGGGACCCTACCTAGCCCTATCTAGTCCTGCATAGGGACCCTGCCTTGCCGGGGATGCTGCCCTGTCAGGAGTCCCTGGTCAGCCCTGTCTAGCAACCTGGAGGGCCTCGGGGACCGTATCCTGCCGTGGAGACCCTGCCCAGCCCTGTCTAGGGACCCTGCCCGGCCTGGGGCACCCTGCCTGGAGACCTTGCCGAGGGAAACCCTGAGACACCTGGCCCCTCTCGGGTTCAAAGCCGCCGCCTCCTCACCTTTGAATCTAGGTGCTCGTGCGCTCAGGACAGCCGAAAGGAGCGCAGCCCGCGGAGAGCCGGCTGCCTCAACAATGGAGCCCGGGGCGGGGCCCTGCGCTGCTTAGTGATCGCCTCCCGGTAGGAGCCGGGCTCAGAGACAGCGGGTGTGAGCTGTGGCCAGAGGACTCTGCGCAGGCGCGCCAGGCCCCGCCCACCGCCAGAGCCCCGCCCCAGGAGACTTTAGGACACGCCCTCTAGCCAATGGCGAGGGAGCTACTCAAAGGAGGCGGAGCCTGGAGGAACAAAGAGAGGTTGGGCGGGGCCGCGGGTCGTGGCCAGCGTCTAGGACCCTTTGCTGACCTGATTTCGCCGCTGGGCTCAGCGCCCACGTGGACTCATCTCGGCTGCTTTTAATGCTCATCCCAAACCTAGAATCCTGGTTTCTAAAGCTGAGAGCCAGACACAGGCCTGCTAGACAGAAAGAGAAACTGAGGCTCAAGGAGCAAGATCTTCTGCCATCCCTAGTATGATCCTCATAGCCTTGTCCGTCTTCTGATCACTCAGCAAACATTTCGAAGAGTGTCGATATCGTTGAAAGTAGAAAGAAAGAGAACTTGGGCCCTCCCTTTAGGAGCTGTGCCAAGCAGGTCCGTTTCTCTGCCACACTTCAAGAGCCCAGTGTTAATCTTCCTTTCCTTCAGAGCTTTGGTTTTTCCAATCCCTAGCCAGGCATGACCCCTCTCCACCTACCATTCCTAATTATCCGGTCTTTAAAACCCGCGCAAGCCTTAAAGGATTCTTCTGGAAAGTATCCCTACAACATCGTGAGTTTACCTCTACCTCACAATCTGCCTCTCCTCCCCTCCAGGATTTCCTCTCTGCCTCTATCCCAGGGCTGGAGCCAGCGTCCTTCTCTTGGTAGGGATATACTGACTAGGAACCCCTCCCACATACATGGTCACTTCAGGATCCAATCCAGCCAGCAGTGACCTCCATCAGACTCCAGTTGAACTGTACAAAAATCACAAACCACTTACTGCCAAAACAGCTTCCGGAGACAGTCCAGCCTGACCCTCTCTCTCCTTGGTGAGCTGCCTCAACACACTGGAGTCCTGGCAGACCCTCAATCCTCCCATCACACTCCACCAACCAACAGGTGATCTGCTTGCTCAGGCATTTGGGCCTTTTAGTACAAACCCTTCTGAGAGAAGAAAAGTTATCCTCAGGGATGGGTTTGATTAGTGTGGTGGTAAGCGCTAATTGTCACCTTAATGGGACAACCTATGAAGGGTTATTTCATCTCTGAGGTTACCTGTACAGAGAAATTACCTAGATTTGGTTGAAGCAGGAAGACTGACACTAAATATGAGTAGCACCACTCACTGGGCTTGGGTCCTGCTCTGTATAAAAAGGGGAGCTCTAGCTGAGCTCATGTGTTCACTGGCCTCTGCTTCTTGATGGTAGGTGTTATGCTACCAGCTCCTGCCTCTGTGACTTCCCACAATGATAGGCTGACACCTCCAGCTGTGGACCAAAACATAACTATCTTTCTTAGATTGCTTTTGTCTGGGTATTTTGTCACAGCACCAGAAAAATAACTAAGACACTTGGGGACACCCTCCTGCTATAAGGGCCTGGGTTGGGACAGAGTAGCAAAGTGCTGGATTGTTATGCCAGCGGGCATGGGGGGGTTGGAGATAAAGGGAGTCAAGGAAGAGGAGGGCAGGGTGGCAGTGAGGACAAGAGAGGTGGCTATTATAGCCTGGAACATTTTAAGAGCAGTAATGTCTATGGCCAGTCAACCCAGTCTGTCATCAAGAGGTCACCTTTCCTCCAGTGGCTTCAGGCCTGCTTTGTGTGAGCTGACAGGAGTCCAGAGAAGACTTGGAGATGGCTGGCTCAAGCCGGAGTCAAGAAAGGGTCAGCTATAAAGGAGTCCTCTAGAATGTCACACTTCTGTCTGAAGTTCAAGCAATGCAACCCAAGTTTTAGAGTTAGCTTTTTCTAAGATGATAGATGTGGTTGACATCTGCATAGATTTCTGGCAAGCTCACTCCACAGCAGTAAAATGTAGATGTGGACAGTGCCCAGGCTCCAAATATAAGTGCAGATATTTCCTTCTAGAGTGGATCACAGCTCATGCAAAATGCCTTTACTTGTTTCTTTTTGAGCCCTCTGTACTGACTCTGGTCTGTGCTGTACTGAGGGGTGGGGGGGGGGGCATGAATCTCTGTCCTGGCTCTGGCAACAGGTCACCTCTTTCTCCATGCTCAGGCTTCCTCTTTCACAACCTGAGAAATGGACAAAAAGGTCTCTTCCCATGCATGTTTGAGGACCATGATGATTTCAGTTAAACTCTCCATCCTTCCTCCATTAAGCTCTTCATCCCTCAAAACACACATTTGGCCAAGGTTGACCTGGAATTAGTGGGTAAGGTATGTTTTTCTGACCAGTACACAAACACTTGTGCTAACTAAAAGTTTACTTTTGGCTATTTCCCACCACCCACCCCTAATGATGGCCACACCACATGCACCTATCTGTGTCAATGACTTTGACCCTTGTGAGGGCAAGGCTTAGAGCTCCCAAGTCCTAACTTGAATCCCATGACATACAGCTCACCATCCTCCTGCCTCAGTCTCTTGTATGTTGGGTCTGGCCAACACAATTTCTTTTTTGTTTTTTGATTTTTGTTTCTGTTTTTGTTTTTTGAAGGGGGTTCTCAAACTGGCTTTGAACTTGTAATTATCAGGGATAACCTTGAACTCCCAATCCTTCTACCTTAGCCTCCCAAGAGTCAGGATTAGAGGTGATAGAGGTGTGAGCAACCATGCCCAGTTTAGTTTCTTGAAGATAGCATTGTCAGTCCATATTCTTTTCAGATTCCAATGCAATGTATATTGTCTTTCTCTAATTACATTTCATATGAAACAACCCCAAGTCCAAGAGGACTCCTGAGATTGCTAGAAAAACCATGACATCATGCTTCAGTGCTCCCAGGAACAATGCAACAAATGGCTATTTGGCTAACTCAAGCAGTATGTGTGTACTGTGTTCATTTATTCAATTTCACTTCCATTTTTAGAGTTTAATGATTTCCCCAGGGGCTAGAGAGATGGCTCAGTGGTTAAGAATGCTTACTGTTCTAACAGAGGATCAGACTTCAGTTGAGGCAGCTTACAAACATCTGTAACTCCAGCTCAATGATTCTCAACCTTCCTAATGTTTCGACCCATTAATATAATTCCTTATGTAAAGTGACACCCAACCATAAAATTATTTCATTGCTGCTTCATAACTGTAATTTTTGCTACTGTTGTGGATCTTAATGTAAATATCTGATATACAAGGTTTCTGATGTGTGATCACTAAAGGGGTCAAGACCCACAAGTTGAGAACCATTGCTCCAGTTCCAAGAGCTCCAACACCCCCCATGAGCACCTGCACAGATACACACAGAAACAAAAGCTTTCCCCCACAATACAACTTTCCCCCACAATACAAAAAGAGACCTTTTTGTCCATTTCTCAGGTTGTGAAAGAGGAAGCCTGAGCATGAAGGAGAAAGAGGTGACCTGTTGCCAGAGCCAGGACAGAGATTCATGCCCCCCACCCCCCCCCTCAGTACAGCACAGACCAGAGTCAGTACAGAGGGCTCAAAAAGAAACAAGTAAAGGATAGATAATACAACAGTCTATAAAGACATTTATGAGATATATCTTACTTGTAATCCCAACATTGAGGAAGCAGAAGCATAAGGATTCCCAGTGCTCATTGGTCAACTGACCTAGTCTAAGCCAGGCGGTAGTGGCACACGCCTTTAATCCCAGCACTTGGGAGGCAGAGGCAGGCAGATCTCTGTGAGTTTGAGACCCACCTGGTCTACAAGACCTAGTTCCAGGACAGGCTCCAAAGCTACACAGGGAAACCCTGTCTTGAAAAACCAAAGCAATTGAGCCCCAGGATAATGAGGGACCTTGTCTCAACAAGAACAAAAACAAAGGAAAGGATGCAGAGAGATGATGAAATGGTTAGAACACTGGCTGCTTGCTCTTGCAGATGACCCAGGTTTGGTTACCAGCACCCACATAGCTGTTCATAACCACCTGTAACTCCAGTGCCATGTGATCAGTGCCTTTTCTGACATCCACAGGCACCAAGTGCCAGGCACCAGGCATCAAGCACCAGGCATCAGGCACCAGGCATGCACATGCTGCAAAGATATATGCAGACAAAACACTGACACAAATAAAAGTAAATAATTTTTTTAAGAAAAATATCAAGCAGTGATACCCAAAGTTGACCTCTGGCCTCCACACATGCACAGCCACACCACACTTGCACATGTGTGCATGATAAACACAACATCTCATTTTGGGGGGCATTAGCAGGTCTTCAGCTCAGGAAGCAAAGCTTCTGGAAGGATCCACAACTGATGTAATTTGTCTGTACCTGAATAAGCATAATCAATCAGGGGGTTTCCTTCACCTCTGAAGAGGCAGTCAGGAAACATTAATAATCAATAGAGCTGACCCATTCTGGGATCAGGATACACCCAGAGCAGCTCTTAGGGATGAGAGTACTGCCCGAGAGGCTCAGAGTGAAGACAGGGTCAGCAGCTCTGGAAGGAGGCAGGGAAGGATGAGGCTGGAGTCAAGACCAGGGTGCTAGCCACCGGGCAGAGGGTGGCGGTAAGGAGCCTCAGAAACGCTTGGTGTCCTTTGGGACTGGGGTCAACTCAGGTCTTTAAAAAATCACATGACAAAGCAGGCTCAGGACCCCATGGCAGGGCTTTCTGGAAGAAATGTCATTTGCCACCGAGAACATAGACACCACCCTTGTTATGTGAGTCCATCTGTCCCTACAACTGCAATCCAGAATCCAGCCTCACCGAAGTCACCTACTGATAGGAAGTGAGGACTCCTCCTCATTCATCTTGGAAGATGTGGCCTTGCAGGACATGTCCAGCCCCACCTACTACCTGCTACCCAGGCAAAAGTGGGTCTTCTCTAGCAGGTGACATAAAGATCCAGCAACCATAGCCAGCTTAAGGGTGGCCCACAGGACAGGCTCTGCTCAGGAGGGTCAGGCATCTCTCCAACACACTCAGCTATGTACCCCTGAGTGTGTGCTTGGTGCCTTTCTTGTGTCACTATAAGGACCCCATTTCCCCTGAGAGGGAATGAGAA